TTTCTATCTTGCTTGGTTGTCTTAATCAGGTTTGTTTGGATCCCTCCAAGCYAGATAAGAGGGTATGGACTCCTAGACCCAATGRAACYTTCACTTGTGCYTCTTTCTTCAAGTCCATCTCTCAACTTTCTACTCACCAACCCTTTCCATCAAAAGAAATTTGGTGCAATCCAGTTACCCAAAAAATTGTGGCGTTTTGTTGGGAAGTATTCCATGGGAAAGTACACTCTAGATAACCTACAAAAGAGAAGACCTTTCCTCTGTATTTCTCCTAATTGATGTATCCTTTGTAGAGCTCACGGTGAGGATTGTTACCACCTATTAATATCTCGTGTGAACACTTAAATATTCCAATACTTTTAATTTCTTATTTTACTATTTTGAATAACTAATTTTTATTTATGCATGCACCTCAATGCTGTGATTTCTAAATTGTTTAGGAGTTATTGCATACAATTCCATGCCCCCATCTTTCAGTGGTTTTGTATATTTCCCTCTATGCTTTTCAATTTTGCATTGATTCTTTTATGTTTTATAGATCTGTTGTAAATGTGATCCTACTGTTAAAATTAGTCTAAAATTGTTATTTCAAACCATAATGTGACAAAACTACCTTTAAGTCACAAAATCGAAAATGAATTGAAATTCTTTTTTATATTTTCTTTTAATTCAAAGCTCTCTGCACTTCCATCTTTCTTTTTGTTTTTCAGTGTATCAATTTCCATTTAAAATGAAAATTTCGGGTTTTAAATTTGAAAATTGACAAAAAAGGATTTTTAAAATAAAACAAAGAACTTTTGTTCACTGTTAGATTTTGGGTAAACTAAAAGTCTATGTTGCCACTTTGTAGGGATGCAGAGAAGACCATCTACAGCACTAATCTGTTACAAGTTGAAGGGGCTAGAAGAGCTAGGGGCAGACCAAAAGGACATGGGGTGTTAACAAAGGACATGGCACTGAACAGAATGGAATGGCAGAACAGGATTCATGTAGCCCATATAGTTGGGACAAGGCCTAGAAGATGGTGATGGCTAAAAAAAGGGGTGTGGATGCAAAGAAGCCCAGTCAGATCAAAGAGGTCTTGTTCAAATGTAGAAATAGTAGAAAAAGTTACACCCCTGCCTTCTAGTATGGACTATGGAGGGGAACTAAGCAGCATACACAATGCACCACAAAGAGAAGAAAATACAATGCTAGTAAATGCCCATATTCCCATAATAACATCACCCTTCACCCTTGGCTTAGCGCCTCCAAAACAGATATATTCCCTCCATGATTCTTGTAAAAGGCCATCAGCTACCTCATCCACATTAACAAGTTAATCAATCTCAATGTCCAGGATCCAAGCTGCAGCCTCTGAAATCAGTTTAGTATGAAGTTACAACTGAGCCCAAATACAATTGTGTCCTATTAATCCCCTGCTTGGTTAAGGTTTCAGCCAACCCATTAGCCAACGCTTGAACCCATTGTATCCTTGTAGTCATTTTGCTACTTAACCATTTGAATTTGTTGACTTCATCCACGTAGACATCACATGTATTATGGTAGCAGGTTCTTTATACTGTATGACCACCCAATGATGCCCACTGCCCAGTACCTCTTACAAAGGATGCTATTTCTCATTGCAAACCCTCACTGTTTGTGTTTTTTTTTTATCAATAACAACTTCAGCAATTTTATTAAAATATCACAAGAATAGTTACAGCAAGGRARACAAACACTCTTATCTTCCAAAAACAACTTAAGTCCTCAAAGAAAGAAAAGGAAAAGAAGAAGCAATTTAGTTACAACTTAGCCTAAAACATTACATCCCTTTCTATCCCCTGTTTAGCTAGCCCATCAGCTAGAGAGTTAGCTGTTCTTTTAACCCAACTCATCCTGATTTTCATTTCCCGCACCAGCCACTTGAATTTTCTCCTCTCATTGCTGTATTTCCATAATTCACAGTTGTCTTTTCTCAACCACCCTATCACCACCTCCGAGTCCCCTTCAATTATGATTTTTCTAACATCCATCTCCTTAGCTTTTTGAACTCCTTCCATAACTGCCAAGATCTCAGCTCTAAGAGAATCCCCCACTCCAATTGGACTTGAGAACATGGCTGAAATGACCCCATTCTCATCCCTAAAAACACCCCCAATCCCTGATTGTCTAGGATTCCCCCTACAGCTCCCATCAAAGTCCAATTTTAGGAATCCAGCAGGTGGTGGTGTCCAAGACACCTTCACAACTGATTTGGACTTCATGCAGCTTGCAATCTCACCCCACTTCCTCAACATGTCATCCACTATGTAGTCTGTGAATAGCTCTAAAGATTTCAGCCATTGTACAGCCCTGATATGGATCACAGCCCTCAATTCTTCAGCCCCTCTCTCTTCTTCCGAGAAGATTCTAAGATGTCTTTCTTCCCATAAAGACCAGCATACTGCAACTCTCAGTCCTCTCCACATAGTCCTTCCCCTTTTCATGCGCCACCTGAAAAAAGAAGGGGAAAATAGGCTCCGCAAATCTGATGGAGGATTCCACTTGCGCCCAAAAAGAGAAAAAGCCCATTCCCAAATTGACTTTGCAAATTGGCACGACAGCAGTAAGTGAAAACTAGTCTCCCCATCCGCTTTGCAGAGAACACACCAATGAGGTGACAAGCATGTATTAGGTCTCTCCTTTTGAAGCAAATCACCAGTATTGAACCTTTCTAGATAGGCTTCCCAACAAAAACTGCCAACCCTAGGAGGAATTGGTCTGCACCAAACCTCATTGGTCGGGAAAGGGGAGGTTGCAGGACTGGTGAGCTGACATAAGACTTTGAAAAAGGAAGCATAGGAAAAAGAGCCCATGGGGGTCAAGGTCCAAGTTCTAGAGTCCACCTTAGAAGGGTCAATGAAGACATTATCAAGAAGGTCAAGGAGGCTCAAAACACTGGAAATCAGAGTCCCTCACAGCCCTCCTCAAACCCAGGTTCCACCCAAACCCAGAACTAGAGGAGGAAGGGGTGATGAAAAAAGAAATTGGCTTATTTTTAAAGTCAAAGAGAGCATACAAAGAAGGAAACAAGTCCTTAAGTGGAACATTCCCCACCCAAGTTTGTTCCCAGAATTTTATGCAAGTACTAGAATTCAAGTCATACCTGACAAAGTGGGGTGAAGACTGGAAGCAAACCATGAATGGCTTTCCAAGGTGAATTGCTTGTGGACCTTGCTCTGATTCCAGCATCCCATCCATTCTGCTCCATCACATGTATGCTTGCCACTATTCTAGCCCATAGCTTCTCCTGCTCTAAAGGAAACCTCCACAACCACTTTCCCAAGAGGGTCGTGTTCCTTTTCCCGATGTTCCCAAGCCCCAAACCTTCACAAGCTTTACTCCTGGTCACCACTTTCCAACTAACTCTATGGTCCTCTTCTCCTCTCCTGGCTCCCAAAGGAAATCTCTCATTAATCTCTCCAACCTACTGGAAACCTTCACTGAAATTTTGAACACTGAAAGGAAATAAATGGGTAAATTTGCTAGCATGGCCTTGATCAGTGAAGTCCTTCCACCAAAGGAGAGGTAATTTTTTTCCAAGAAACAAGTCTTTTTTCAAATCTCTCCACCACCGGATTCCAAAAACTCTCTCTCTTGGGATTATCACCTAGGGGCAAACCTAAATAACTCAAAGGCCAACCTGAAACTTCACACCCAAGCACTTTTGCGTTCTCCCTAACCTCTCCCTCCTCCATATTCATGCCCACTACACAACTTTTCCCGAAGTTCACTTTCAAGTTTGACATTTGCTCGAAAAGTTGAATCACTAATTTCAAATTCCTAATGAACCTCACATTACCTCCTTCACAAAACAAGATCGTATCGTCAACAAACTGTAAGTGAGTAAGTGGGATGTCCTCCCTACCAACCCTCACTATCTGTGCTTCATAGGTTGCATATATGTAAAAGAGACCTTCCAATTTTTGAAACTTGACAATCCAACACAGTGACACCATATACTATTTACATCTTTAACACAAGCAAGTGATTTAATATAGGCAATCTTCCTTTGTAGTTGAGCTCCTACCTTCAAATTTTATTATTAATTTTTTTTATAAGTACCAACCTTCAAATTATTATACCTAAGCATGTATACCATTTACATAGCTTCCTTCTTTATTGTTCCTTTTCCTTCCCCAAGATTTGTAGTTGCTTCATGTTTGTGTGTGTGTGTTGATCTGGCAAATGCATGTAGTACTTAAAACACCTAAAACAAATGATTTCTGCACTTCCAACTCCCCAATCATTTTTTATCATTAATATAATATTCTTTATGCATCTATGAGATTTATATGGATTTCCCACTTGTATCTGTGCATACCTTATTTTATCCTGCATATCTATGTCATACTAGAAGTGACTTTCCAGCATACCTATATTGACATTGTACTCATGGCAATTATTACTGCCAATATTGCCTTCCCACTTCATCCTTCCATCCATCTTCAACTAGATTTTGGACAATGATACATTTAAAACTTATTAGGATGAAAAGAACAAAATATATGCAGAACTCAATATGCACACAGGGGGTGGGGAGGCATGATATTGACAAAAGTTAAAATTCAGTGTCCTAATAAAACCAAATATGTTGAACATACAATATTCTTGCCTCAAAGAAGTAGTGTCTAGGAGAAGCTGATGCAACATCCATTGTCAATTCCACAAATTTTTTTAGTCTGATGGGCAACCTTGAAACATTTTTAAGAGAATCAGGAAGAATATTCTCAATTCCTCTAGGCTGAACCTGAAATCAAGCAGATTATTCACCTTTCAATGAAAAAAGTATAACCAAACACCTTAGACTCCAATTGAATATTTCATACAAAGAAATAGAAAAAAAAAATACTGTTAAAGTATCCATATCCCAAGAATGATTTGGAGGGAGGGGGACAACAGATATTTTAAGTAACAAATAGCCAATAGGTAAAACTGCTTCTGATATTGTTCTTGATCATTATATATCTATCCATCTATCTTATTGAAAGCCAATGGTTTACTTATAAGAGTACTGTTTTTCAATTGTTAATAATGGGCAAAGATAAATTTTTTCTATCATTTATATAAAGGTTATTGTGCTGGGCATGCAAGTAGACTTTTGCAACAAACCACATTCAATATTTTTATTTTCTCTGTTTCTTCTTATTCTGCTTTTTCTTCTCTCCTCTTCACTATATAAAATCTCAAATCTCTAATAGAGGTCAACTACTTTGTATCAGAGCAGGCCTCTCTCTCATCATTGATCACTGTTAGGTTGATCAGATGCTGACATCATCATTGCGGATTGCTGATGTCAACAGACTGTACCGCTGTACAGTCAGCAACATCCATCAATGGAGAAAAACCAAGCCCTGATCAAGCATAAATCTGGAGTTATAGAAATTATCTATCGTCCTACTATGAGCAACTATTTCTGTCCTGCTATGCTTTTCTTTCAGTATCTATTATTTTTCTATTCCTAGCAATGTTATAGAAGCTATCTGTTGCTCTGAATGGAAGAAATCCAAGGAAAAAGAAGGATGCTTTATTGAAGAATCATACTTGGGAACTGGCTAGTCTTCCACAAGGAAAAGAACTTATAGAATGCAAGTAGGTTCTTAATGTAAAATATAAGACTGATGGATTGATTAAGTATAATTCCAGATTAGTGTCTAAAGGCTACACTTAGATTGATGGGGTGAATTATTGGGAAACATCTACACTTATTACAAAAATTTTCTAGCATCCTACCTAGATGTATAATATGGCTTCTTAAGTGGAGACCTGGGCATAAGTGTGTATTTACCCCTCCACTTCAGCTCCAAGTTCCTGGAAGTGAAGGAAGGTGTTTTTGTTGAAGAACTCTGTGTATGGGTTTGAAATGTATTGATCACACTCTTTGTGGTTAAAGAGTCCCTTTTTGGTTGCTCTGGAACAAATAAGACTTTAAGAGACTCTAGAAGAAATATGAGCTTCTGCTTCTAGTAGCAACGTGCAAATTAATCCATTCTAAGAAGAAATATTTGAATATCAATCTCATTGACCTCATTGGTATCATATCAAAGCCCATCAACAAATCACTTTTTTCAAGAAATATAAGACATCTAAGTCTTACAAATAAGAGATACATTCATTGATAACAAAAAAAAAACCATGAATGGTGACAGATTGATAATAAAATAGAATCTTGGGTCATGAATAGTGATCTAATTGATGATGAAGAAAGAGAATCTTGGTTCAGTTCCCCACCTTAACTACAGGAAAAAAAAAGGATTAATCAAATTCTATCGAGTCTAACTCATAGTGATCATTTATCAAAGAATGACTGCTTATCAAATAGTTGAACGACCAGGATCAATTTATGTATGAAACTTAGTTGGCCAAAAACATAGTTTTTAAAAGGGTGTTTAGAAGATTTCAGGGATAGTGGAGGACATTAATATTTGCATAAATATGGTTAGAGATTCTTTTGAATGCCAAAGGTTAGGACAATACCCAATCTACCCCTCACATGACCTTAGATAGCTGGGACCTAGAACCAACATTGGGTAATGGCCTTTTTTATTCTTTTGAATTACTTATGATTCATGTTTCAAACTCCCGTGATATTATACCATGACAATCAGGCAATTATCAGTACTTTTCATTATCCAATTCCAAGTAACAGATCCAAACACACTGAAGATGGGAGAGAATATCATCTCTAGTTAAGTATTTTTGTTGTTTATGAAATCAAAAAGTTAACTTGATGATATTTTCATATAAGTAATTGTCAAAACCAGGACTAAAAAATATTCTTGACAAGATGGGCATGGTTGATATCCATATTCAAATTTGGGGGTTTCAAGTAATTTATATTATAAATAGCAGGGATTGACTAGGGTGATTTGTTGTGTCAGAACTATGGGCATCTCTCTTTTGTCCTTTGATGATATTGGGAGTAATTGGGGTGAGGTGGCTAAGAGTTCTTCATATAAGGAGCTGGTTTGTGCTCTTTGGTCACCTCTGGATGATGATTCCATTAAAACTAAACTTTGAAGGAAGTAGCCAAGGCAATCCAGGCCCCTCTGGAATTGGAGGGGTGTTTAGGAAAAAAAGGCACATTGTTGCTTTGTTTTCAGGACCAGTAGGCTTGGGGGATTCAATTAGGGCTGAATTCTTGGTAGTACTTCAAGGGGTGCAGTTAGCAAAAGAGTTAAACTTAGACAAGATGATTATTGAAGGTGACTCCAAGATTGTGGTGAGATGATTACAGAAGCTGGAGACTGTTAGTTAGGTGTAGAGAGATGAAATGAAGAAATTTAATTGGCTTTCTAGTAACATGATAGGCCCCCAGTTAACCTTACGTATGCTAGGAGAAAGAAAAGGCAGCATAAGGGGGAGATGATTAGACATGGGGCATTTATGGAGGAGGTCAGAAGGGAATAGGAAGAGTCTTGGGGCATTTATAGCTATGTCAGTTATGAATAAGAAGAGTTTTGGGGCATTTATAACTAGGCCAGCTGGGCATTTATAGAGGGCGTCAGTTATGCTATCAGAAGAGTATAAGAAGGGGCTTTGGGGGATGGGCAGTGACATGTTTTTCTTTGAGTGAAGAATATTGTGAGTGTTTGGGAGAGTCGGCGGTCTCTCGAAGAACCGATCAACTGTTAATGTTTTCTGCTGAATGAATACTAGTTTCTTTGTTGATATTCGAGTGTGTGAACGCTGCTGTAAGTCTGTGAACTGCGTGTCAAATTTCTGGGTCATATCAGTGGTATCAGAGCACGTCTTTCCTCGGCCATGGTGACAGCTAAGGAAGTGGCATCGCAGGTGGAGGGTTTCGAAGAACGCCTGTCTTCTCTGCATTCTGGATTCCGTTTGGAGATGGATGGCTTACGCAATGAGTTTCAGCGACTCGATCCAGATAAGGTAGCTGCTGGACTTTCGAAGATCTCGTCCCTGGAGAAATCGGTACAATCTCTGGAAAGAGGCGTTCAAGATTTGGTGAGACGTTTTGATTTGTTGCTTCAGCAACAGGCCTATTCAGCTCCTTTGTCTACAACTGACATTGCTCCTTCTTTAGTCGCATCGAGTCGTGCGGCTGACAAAGGGAAGAGTGCAGCTTTCCCGACGTCTTCTTCAATGTCAGTCCCGAAACATACTTCTGATTCACTTCCTCGGAAGTTGGAGCTACCTATCTTTGATGGGGAAAATCCTGACGGCTGGTTTTTTCGCGCAGAGCGCTATTTTGAGATTAACGGCTTGCTTCCGGCAGAGCGTCTGCGAGTTGCAGTTGTCTATTTAGAGGGCGATGCATTGGCGTGGTATTACTGGGAAGATGGTCGGCGACCTTTTCGTGGTTGGACAGAATTCAAAGAGCTCCTCCTTGAACATTTTCGATCGACTCAGGAGGGTAATTTACAGGAGCAGCTCTTCTCGTTACATCAGTCTTCTACTGTTAAGGAATATCGTCGCCACTTCGAGGTGCTCTCTGCTCCCTTACGAGACATGCCGGTAGTCAGTCCAAATAAGAGCAAGTGTTTTGGGCTGATAGAAAACACCAGTTATTGGGGTGAATCAGAGTCCCGATGTAGGGATTATAATGGGCACTTGGCAACACTGACATCAGCCAAGAAACTAAGTTTTGCTGGAAAACTCTGCGCTAATACAACAAGAGGCTGCTGGGTTGGAGGAAGAGGCTTCAATTCTACAGGTGGTTTTAGTTGGAAATGGTCTGACAATGCAACACATTGGAATGAGTCCATTCCCCCTGGGGCACCATTTCACTCCAATTGCTCCAATTCATCATGCAAAGGCATTAATCTAATCAATACCGGTACATCGGTGACTAATGGCCAGCCAACCCTTGTGGGTGAGAGATGCAACAACTCTCATGAGTTCATCTGTATGCTTGATATAGAGAATAAATGCTACCACCTGCATCGCCACGAGGAGTATCTTATCATTCTTGCAACTCTTAGTGGGATGATCCTTTGCACAACTTTGGCTGTTGTAATTTGGTTGCTTGCATACAGGAGGAGCAAGAGGCGCAAAAGGTCTCGCAAAGCATCTAATCCATCAACATCTGCATCAGTTACCCCATCAGGGAAAGTCTTCAGCAATGAGGAACTGAGGCCAATTACAAAGAATTTCAGTGAAGGTAACCGTCTTGTTGGAAATGCCAAGACTGGTGGCACATATAGTGGGTTTTTTTCCTGATGGAACAGGGGTAGCAGTCAAGAGATTGAAAAGGTCTATCTTTCAAAGAAAGAAGGAATTTTATTCAGAGACTGGAAGAGTTGCAAAGCTCCGTTATCCTGCTGCCGTGTGCAGTGTGTGTCCATCCACTATGCCTGGAGTTACTGATTGGAAGTGCTTATTCATTGGCAGGACCTGCCTGATTTTGAAGATTCTTGGGAGCCTTTTGACTTACTTCAAGACCAATTTCCTCATTTTAACCTTGAGGACAAGGTTAGACTTTGGGCGGCGGGTAATGATAGGCCCCCAGTTAACCTTACGTATGCTAGGAGAAAGAAAAGGCAGCATAAGGGGGAGATGATTAGACATGGGGCATTTATGGAGGAGGTC